ACATTTTGCCGCACCCGAAATGTTCTCTCCCAGCAGACAAACTCCCCTGGCATGTTATCTCTCTATTGGCCGATTTCTACTCTTTCCAGTCGCCTCCCGAAGCCTGGTAGAGACTAGGCTTACATCATTTAGCGAAGCTATGTGGTCGTTTCACTTAGCTTCCTGACCGGTTGATAGTCAAGTCAAGTTTATTGCGCAACAATTGCATTGGATACAATGTGTGGCAAACAACACTAAATAACTATAAACTATTTCTACTAGTGTACTAATCTAACTTTAATACATGTATATATTCTATAATAGACTGTTACATTTCACATTGCTGTGACATTGTTTCTCTTTTGTATAGCATTATGTAATGTTACATATTTGCCTAGGTAAACAGATACAGAGTCGGGGCATGATAACAGCATGTTGAAAAGTTCTCTACTTGTCCCAGATAGCGTTATTTTACTCTTACATATATCTTGCAGAAGACTGCCTGTTCAAAGAAACGGACACCACCTACCGGTACCGATGGGATTTGCCCCAGCTTACGGGAACGCGCTTCACTTTTCAAGTCTCTGCCTACAAAGCTGCCTTCATCGGCCTGTCACCAGAAAACCACGACGTTACGGACATGTACGAAATCGTCATCGGTGCAAGCTGGAATTCAAGATCGGCCATACGCCGAGAAAAGCTAGGCCCCGATCTCACAAATGTCCCCACACCAGGTCAGCTTTGCTTTTTACTCTGACGCATGTTGTCCTTAAATTGTTGGCTGATAGATAGTTCAGTGTTGTGGTACAAGTTCAATGTTTTGTCGTTGTATCGATACATAGTAAAGGCCACAGCAAGTAATATTTATGGATGACATCAACGCGCGCATTAATTTTCACCTGGTTTTGGGAAAAGAAGAAGAAATTTTGTTTCTTTCTGACAGTGGTCACCATGCCGAAAATGGGTAAAGATGTCTGTTGCCATGCCGGAAGGTGGATGGCAGATGACTATAAAGAGAGGAGACAAGAAAAGGCTCTGATTTAATGTTTTGTTTCTTACTTTTGATGCAGTAATATGTGATGTTGGCTGTGTATATGTGATGTTCCCACTAAATCAAAACCATTTGTACAATGATTGAGTCAAAATTTTCAAATGTAGGAATCTTGCTTTTTTTTCGCCCGCTCGCATTAGATTTGGAGTCTGCGGAGGATGTCATCCATAAAATTTACTTGCTGTGGCCTAATAAAGATTCCTTTACTGCGTGCGCATATCTTGAAGTGGTAAAGGTATGGTTAACCTTCCGTACAGATATCAACTCGCCGTCAGAGTACAGGACCTTTTGGATAAACTTGGCCTCAGACGGAACCATTTCTGTCGGAAAGGGGGGTGACTCTCTGCCGTTCATGTCGTGGACGGATCCCAACCCGGTCCGCGTGTCTTACGCTGGGTACTCTACAGGCTGGGGAAGCGACGGGCTCTGGAAGTTCTGCTCGGAAACCGGTCAGTGGTTGGCTCGAATTTAATATAACCTAAAGCCCCAATATTTGTATCAAGTTTGTTCGAATACTTTAAAAAGATTATTCTGACTCTTTCAAACGTCAAATGGAGGTGGCAGGGAGAGAAAGAAAGAGAGAAAATCAGTAAGACAGATACAGACAGACACACAAGCAGACATTAAGGTTCTAATTTTTCCAGGTACAGTGACAACAGAGGACATCTGAAGTGCAGGGAACCAACGGAAAGGATGGTGGAGAACTTGAGGTTAGTGTGAAAAATGAGGAAAATTACTACCTAGCATGGTAGTTTCTTAGGACGTATGTTGGAGGCCAACCGGCAATAGTCATTTTACTCCTATATTATTTAGAACATGGCCACTGCCGCCCAGCCATTGAGAGCCTTTTATTTACAGTGTTTATATCTCCATAGTGCAGAAAGTGCGGTACTATGAACTCATTTGCATAGAATAGTACTACACTTTTTTCATAGTACCACACTTTTTGGGTTTTAATTGAAACCATTGAGGATTGGGTGGACGATTACAAGGAATAACTGGTATGTGAAAAGTGTCGGTAGAGGTATGGTTAAATATTTGATTGAAGCCTTGTCTGTTGACCACACACATTTATGCAATAATGAATGTTGTGATAATGATAGGTACGGACGTGGCCAATGTGCATAACAATTGAATGTATGTGTGCATGTGTTGTACAATTTTGTACTCTGGTTGATCTAGTTTGTAGTATATCACATGTACACCAGTAGACAGCAGTACTATGTCAAGAGCTGCGTACAGAGGTTGAAGCAACATTTGATTTGATACATCTGCAATCTTACTATTGTTGTTTTTTCTCCATACTGTAGACTGGACTTGTGAAGATCTGGTGAAGAAACCGATGGACCTGTCGATGGAAAATCAACTTGGTGTGCCTTTCACGTGCTTATTGGCTTATTGCTGGAACTATCTAGGCTGTACCGTCTTCTTTTTAGACTCTACTTGCGACTCTGTGCTATGTCAAATCTATATTTCCCACAAAAGACACAGTTCAGTTTCCTTTTACATGTACAAGTCCTGTATCGTTTCTAAATTTTGATACAACTGTAGATTTTTACATTGTTTTGCATGTTATTATTCACATGTATAACGTTATATCATTGATTTAGATTCCAAAGAACCCACATATTATATATCGAAGTGGGTAAATTCGTCTTCTACTTCCTCAAAGACAGTGAAAGAAGATGTAAAACCCTTCTGGCATTTATTTCCAATAATAATGGACGTATTATTATGATTATTGTTATTTCAGTCTACATCCTGTTTTTTTCGTATTACAAGAGCATTAACGTAACAGGTTTCATTTCTTTGCAATTAAAGCTGTCATGAAGATGCAAAGTCTACTTAACTCATGTTTCAATCATTGCTCCTAATTAGTTTTCTGTATGTACGATAAGATGGTAAGATTTTAGTGTATGTGATTTTTTTTTGGGGGGGGTCACTTTCAACTTCATCCTAAGTGCTATTTTCCTAAGTAAGGCCCATTTTACACTAGGATTTTTTTGCCGTTCCGGATCGCTTTTAATCCTGGTAGCGTTCCCATATAAGGTCATGTTCATTTGATGATATGGATGGCGTCCATGCGTGCCGTTTAAAAAAAAAGTTTTCAACCATACTGTAAATCGTACAAAACAGTTGCAAAATGAGCAAATATATACCGTGAGTTGCAAAAAAACATATTGGAAAACGATACAACTAGAATGCCAAAATCAAACGAAAAACACGAAAATGTAAAGAAATTAATTTGAAGAGTTGATTATTCGCCATACCATACCCTGAGTCATTTGTTCAACCTTCATGACCACGTAGATTTCATAATGGAATCAACTTTTTTTGCCAAACTATTTTTCATTCGCACGCTCGCATCAGTTTTGGGGTTCCCAGAGGATGTCATCCATATAATCAAATCAACATGGCCTTACTGTCAGTTTATTGATAAAGTCTACAATACGAGCAAACAGAATACTTTTATACACATCCCTCACTATCAGAAAATTGACACCTCAGTAACTATGACACTACTTTTTGCGTTATCTTTATAAACGTCCCCAATATAAATGCTTGTCTACCCATCCTTGCCCAATGGAATAGTAGGAATGTAGCGAGACCATGATAAGGTAACATCATACATTTGCTTACAAATTTTACCTTCCTAGTCTTAAACATTCAAAAACTAACTGTTCTTACTCAGGAATTTCTATAAGTTTTATTATTACTCTTGTTTGCGTTTCGGTGCATTTGAGACTCAGGGCTGAAAGTAATAAAAGCAATTGAAACATTTCACTGTTTCGTGATCTGAGCAAATTGTATAAACCAAGAAACGTTTATCTAATATAATGTACCTATATTTTATGAACGAACTTTTAGAACACCCATTTGTCCCTGAAACAACGTTGAAAAAAGGGCATTTATGGTTGGAGTGCAACAATTTTTTAAATTCCAAATCAATCGAATCTTTTTTCATCTAAAAACCTCCTCTCGTAATGTATTGTCAATGGCGAGAGGAGGTCTTTTGGGCTCCCCTTCCTTTACGGGACGGGGTGACCCCGTGACCCGGCGGTTCTCCACCCGGCACAAACCTCTGCCCTAGATGCGTCCACCAAGCGCAAGAGTTTTCACTAGTGTTTTCAACTCGCCAAAACGGGCGCTCATCACGTCTAGAGCGGACGGGACGGTATGACGTCATCACTGGCAACAGCTGAGAATATCTCTTCCCCCCTGTTACAGGTGCAGATGGCGTCAGCTGTCCCAACTGATGCGCTTGGTCGACGCACCTGGGCGACAGGTGTAGCCTGGCCCCAAAGGATTTCTCCCCTTTATTTCCTGTCTTTTCTAATATCTTTTTTCATCTAAAAACCTCCTCTCGTAACGTATTGTCAATGGCGAGAGGTTTCTAGGGTTTCCCTTCCTTTACGGGACGGGGTGACCCCGTGACCCGGCGGTTGTCCGCCCGGCAGTATCATGGTAATAATAGAGAGGTACGGAAACGGCGGCACTCACGAGATCGAGGCTCGTTTCACGCTCAAGGGACGATGGGTAGACTTCCTGGCGGCAAAGTCAAATTTTTTCCTGTTCTACATCACATGTCTTAGCGAGTTTTTGAGTTGTGATTGATTTTTTAGAAATTTTGTACACATCATTATCAAGATATGTAAATATTTATCCTAAACTTATACTTAGAACATTCCAATGGAATTTCTTGGTACTGGGATAATTGTCAGGAAATTATTGGATACTTGTCTTCTGTGAAAACATGATACTTCTAGCTTGTCATCACCCCAATGCCTCCACTGTGCTGAAGTGTCATCTTGTTGTGAAATCATACTTTAATCGATTATATATAAAAGAATAAAAAATGAGGCAACACAGACAATTTCATGGCAGGTTTTGTCTTTAATGACTATCAAAAGGAATGCACAAAGATTGGTACAATACAGCCATTACAGGCAATACCTTGGATTTATGAAAACAATATCTTAGAAATTGTACACAGTGACATAACAAGTTATTCCTATCATAATTAATGATTCTAGTCAAGATGCATGTATCTACCACCTTCCAGTAAATTAAGGTATGTCTTACCAGAATTGATCCTACCACATACACATGCACTTTAGATATCATAAAATAGAACATTATAATGCCAACAATGCAATCGCTTGACTAGCATCAATTACTTGTATAGCTTGCTTACAGGTCCAGGTAAAGTTGGAATGAGGAATCCCAAGTCATCCAGAAATAGATATCAAATTATCAGCATCATTATAATGAAGAAATAAATAATAAACAATATATCTTTAAAATACATTGTCATGTTTTAATCCAAGGTATGAATATTCTGGTTTTAACATTTAATGATGAATGGGACTTGAAGATAGCAATAGAAGGTGATCTGGTGTCTTAGGCAGGGTTGAACTCCACATTCCTGGTGCAGAACAAACCAGTACCTGACTTGGTACTGTACTTCAACTAGAAAATAAAGAGAATAATAATCAGATGAAAGTAACATTTGCTTTTCTTTCTGCAGACAATCAGTAACTGAACTAGAGAGGCCGACATTTGCTTGGGAGCAAATACAGCATATTTCAGTCCATCTCCCTCCCACGCAAAAGTGGACTATTCCAAACTTACCCCAGTGTAAAACTGGCAAAGATTCTCAAATAAATGAACTATATACAGTAGTAGTAGTAGGTATGTAATTGAGAACAAAGATGCAAGATCAAGCACATTGAATCTCGAAAGCTTTACTAGTCTTATTACAGGTATGCAAATACTAACAATGATGAGATTTGATACATTTTGAAGGTCTTAGGCACATAAAATTGAATGTGTGGGTCATTCCGCATGACTTACGTGCAATGTGACCTCAGGTAACCCGCAATGGAACACGTGTTCCATGGATGGAACCGGCCATTCTTTAGATAGAACATGGAACGGGTACAGCACTTTTGGCCCTTTTTTTGCTGAAAATAGCCATTAAAGTCCTCCAAATGAGTCATTTGGAAGTGGTGTATGCCAAATATGTGACTGCTATTCTGTAGACACATGTTCAAGGTACCCTTATACCGAATTTCAGATCATTTGGTTGCAAAACCAGGGCTCAGGATCCAAAAATCCATTTTTTGGCGAAAAATGCCCCAAAAAACCTTCATAAAAATTTTTCAAAGGCATGTATGAAAAAAATGAAAAAAAAACGCCTGGGGGTATTGGCCCACTCTACCTCCATGCCAAATTTCAAGTCATTTGGCTGAATGATGGCGGAGTTGAATCCCTCTGACTGTTTGGCAGGAGGAGAAGGAGGAGAAGGAGAAGAAGAAACACCAGAGAACACAGTATATTTCATCCATACCATGGTATGGACTGAAATATAAATACTGTCAACATTCAGACTGCATCACATAACATTGCATGGATAATCCTCTGGTACATGCATTACATTTCTATTCATATACCATGAATGACTTTGTATGGCTTTTTCTAAGTTGATATCCCATCATGGGTTCCTATTTCACAATAATATTACTGGCTGTGCAGCTCATAGATGGTCACAAGTGTTTAAAATAAGATCCAAACATTCATGAATACACACATTTACTGCAGGTGGGGGAGGGGGGACCTGACCAATGTATTACACTAGGTGTATCATTCTTGTATGCAAATGTTTCTGATTGATAGGCAAGTATCTTTTTGAAATTACAACATATGTTAG